AAGGCAAACTGGTGATAGTTCTCTGATACCCGCGGCATTGCTAGTAGCGGCGCCTCCTTGTGCAGTGAGAGTGTAACAAGGGGCGGTGGGAACGTTACGGCTAGGTGGCATGAGAGAACCGGCGAGGAGCAAACTTGAGTTGTACCCATTGTGGCCGCTAAACCACGAAGGACCAAGGGTGCGTGGTGGGAAACCCGTTATGGCAGCTCAGGCTCTTTGCAGGGTGATTGGAACAGAGTGGGTGATTGGGTAGCTCGATACAGCAGCCAATGAGTGTGAGAATAAAGCAATTTGTACRATAGTCAGGGTGAAACCCAGGGAATTACTGACAGCRGCGCCATCTTGAGCAGCATGAGCCCATGAGGGCATCAAGAGGCGGGGGGAACGCTTTTGGTAAGATGCTATGAGAGAACCGGCGAGAAGCAAACTTGAGCTGTACCCATTGTGTCCGCTAAACTATGAAGGTCCAAGGGTGCGTGGTGGGAAACCCGTCAWGGCAGAGCAGGMTTCTGGCAGGGTAGTGGAACAGGGAGGGTAGTAGGGTCACTCCTGCAGGTGTGATCAATTAACTGCTGTAGGACTGTTCTTTATTTTTGGGAAACAATATCACCACGATTAGCTTGWAGTTGGCATGAGTTTGAGATGAGAATTTGGGATTTTATGGGACGTTTTAGTTTGCTTTTGTTACTTTCAAGTGCTGGGGTATAGCTGTAGTAGTCTACGGTAAAATTTGGTGAGTTCTCGCCTCAAAAATTCAGAGGTGAACTGTATTGGAGAATCGAGTCTGTTTCTGGAAATAATTATAGGGGTAATCCGTATAACTGTCGTGAATTGCCTTACCTCCTCGAGACTTGCTGATAATAGTTTGTTGTTCTCTGCCATTAGTGCTTCGTTTTTAGAAACACGAGGGCACTTCCCTGAGGTTGGTTGGAGGAGTGGAGTATTGCCGTAATGATTCGTGCAGCCACCTCTTTCTATGCTTCATGACTATTTTTGTGGCCTGTCGGATTGAAGAAAGTTGAAGGAGATAGGAACTCAGACATGGGACTTTTAGATCTGAGTCATTCTCCCAATTCACGGCTCGGAAGAAGAGATTAGATAATCTGTTGAGTAGATGCTTTCCATCCTTTTTTCTTGTTTTTTTTTTTGGAGTACTTTAGAGGAGGGACACTGGACCCGGTTTCCAGAAGCCCACAGCTGGGTAATGGCCCGAGCACGTCTGATGTACCGGGTTGCATTGTCGAGGTGTATTCCCGGGCCTCTGTTTGTCTCTCATTTGGAATGAATTTGGAGTTACTCCCAAAAAAAAAAAAAAAAAAACAAACGTGCTCGCCCCCTCAATAATTTCATTCTCGTTTTATTTTTTCTATTTTTCATTATTATTATTTATTATTAGTATTTTATTTTTATGTCAAATTTGGTAAAGAATTTGGATGTAACGTTGGGGCAAATGTTGTTTAGTTTATTATTCTGTATAACATATATGTTTTTTATATTTTTTGGAATTCTTTTTTTTCTTTTTTTTTTTGTTGGGGGGGGGGGTCTGCGTTCGGCCGAACGGCCGAACGCGTCGAGAGGGGGCGCCGAACGTTGGGGCGTTCGGGTTCGGGCGTTCGGCCCGTCCCGAACGCCGGCAACCCTGGTTCGGAGTTTTTCTTATTGTTACAGTACTTCCATATTATTTGTCTTATTTGGACAACAGACATGAATAGAAACAAGAGAAACCGGATCTCCCGCAGAATCTACGCTCTGGGCCTAGCTCCACTGCCCAACACTTTGAATGCATCAGGACATAGAAGTGGCTCAGTTGCATTCGGGATGTTCAGCCAGGGACTAGGGTGCACGGGCGTGTGGGGACCGCGTGTCAAGACTCCTGGGCGACTGCCATGCCCCTGGCAATAACCAGTCTCGGGTGACCACGTGTCAGGGCTCCTGGGCAACTGGAGATGGCGCGTAGCAGAAAGTGGGGATGGTCAACGGGCGGAATCTGGGCGTTGCCATTACAGCATACATGAAAATTGCAAACCAATCAGGGGCCTTACCCCTGGGCCTTAGATATGGAACCTGGAGTTAAGCTTGATGAAGGATGTGTTGACTGATACTCGGACGATGGCGATGGATGACCTCGGCTTGAAGACTGCCAGCCTTCAGAAAAGAAGGAAGAAAAGGGCAGGTGTACGGGTTGCTAGAGATGGCCTTTCTCTAGAATGCTTGAGAGAAGTGTGATTAGGTGCTAATCATCAGCGCAATGTTATGTGCTTGTGAGCTAGGTAGGAAGAGGGGCTCTGCCTGCGGTTACAGGCTGGAACCCCAAGTTGAGACTTCATGTGCCTGCTATTGTATTGCCTTGGGCACAGGGCTCTCTTTTTTTTTTTTTTTTCAAACCAAAGCTCCATCTATTGGTGGGGAGCAGCACCTGCTGGAAACCGGGTCTAGCGTCCCATAGATACAACCATATCCTCACAAATTGGCACGAACTGGGAACCGGGCCCAGCGTCCCATAACGAGTACATTCAGAAAACTCGTCAGAAAATTTCATGAAAATGAGGCTAGGAACCTACTAGAAAAATTCAATCGGCCTAAAAAATGGAAATTGAAAATTGAGATACCGGGGCCATCACCCGGCTTTGGCTCAGAAAATTAGAGCTACTTCAGCCCTGTCTATGACAACTTCAGGAGAAAGTCGAGTTTTTTAAGAAGTCGGATGTGAGGAGATCGAACATCCGTCAGGATAGTGAACATCTTATTCCGATGGCCTTCAAGTCTGGACGTCCACACCCAATGGGGGGAACCTGCATGGCTGGAGCACTTTCTTTCCTTTTTTCTGTCTCGTCTTTTCTTTTCACTACCGTAGTACTTCCTCTCAACACACAACTGTGAATAAACCTGTATACACACACACACACACACACACACGCACACACACACACACACACACACACAAAATCAGTTTCATGTATGTCTGTCTTCCCCCTGTCGTTTGTCTTTCCTCTGATTTTCTTTTTCTATGTACTTTTTCTGTGTGCCCAACCGAGCACCTTTAAGTAGTGCCAAAAAGTTGGTCATTCCTTGTCTGGAGTGCCTACAGCACTCTTAAGGGGGGCGCTCGGTTCGGGATGTCCATGTTGCCTGTGAGTGATGACGGATGCTCGCCGGAGTGTCTCCCTGGCTCAGTGGGTGGAGGGAAACAACAGTCTGCGGGGTTCAATCGTGATATGAGTAGGTCATGTGCCGCTTTGCCTCATGTTGGCTCTGTTGTCGGCGCTCCTCCGTTGTCTTGCTGCCTGCCCCGCTTGCTTCGCATGTGGTTGTCTGCAAGTTCATGTGTTTGCTGTGTGCTGTGGCCGTATTGTTGGTGTTGCCTTGCGCTTCCCTGCTCCGCTGCCTTGCTGCCCATCCACTGGTCGCACCTTCCGTGTTTGTTGCTTGCGTGCCTCGAAGGTGGTTGCGTTGTGCTTCGCTGCACGGTTGTCGAGCGGCTGGTCCGCTCGCTCGCCCTGTCATCCCTTGCAGTGTGGTTGGCTTGCTTGTGTTGCCTTGTGCTTCACTACATGGTTGCTGTGCTGGTCATTCGTCGTCCGCTTGCCCTGTCATTCCTTGCAGTTGCTTTTCAAATTGGCGATGTGCAGCCATGTGGCCTCTACTGCGTTGCCTGGTGCTCCGTAGGTTGCTGCCCGCTGCTGTGTTCCCTTTGGGGAACAGTCTACGAAGATTCCGCAGATTGTCTGTTCGGAATTAACGACAGGCATGCCAGCCTAGTTTGAATTTCTGGTTGCGTCATTGTGCTTGGCGAGTCCTTGTCCGAAGTCAATCTCCTTTGTCATGATTTGGTGTCCCCTTGGTCTCATGGATTTCCTACCTAGTGGGCAAGATCTGGTTTGCTTCATCATGAATAAACGCTACCCTTAAGGGCCTTAAGATCGAGACGATCACTTGGAGTATGTGATGTTTGGACCATATTATTCCCTGAAACGGCAGCGAGACGAAGTGTGATTTTACACTGAAGGGTAGCGTATGCACAGGTTACACACACACACACACACACACACACACACACACACACACATTATTATAATGATTCGGATCATTATCATTAATTATCTGTTATTTATTTTTTTGCAAGGCAGATGAGCAATAGCGAATTCCAGAACTCAAACAGCATCATACATGAGTGACCAAATAGCCATGACCTCGAACCATAAGCAGAATGGCATCACGAGTTATACCAAATAAGAACACAGAAATAGTTCATAATTGACAATGCTGAAGTTGTCTCTCATCATCATCAACAAAGAACAAGAGTTGGTATCCTATTGGCGCTCGGCGCCCAGACTACAAGATGGCAGATCCTATCTAGTCTACTACTACAATGCCGAAGTTGACGTCAACAGCTTCACCGAAGTACGAGCATATGCGGCCAATGTCGCTCGCCTCWAGYACCAGGTATGACTCTCGCTTCGCTCTCAACCCCGATCCTCACCGCACAGATGCCTCTAGCACCCAAGGACCAACCTGCGCCCAACCCAGCTTACAGCAGGCAGCGTGGCTATGGCTGCCTGCTTCTTCCACACTCGCCCGTGAGTGCGAGGGCGTCAGCCAGCAAAATAGCGCAGCAGCGCTGTCGCCGCATGCAGCCAGCACCCGAATGCCAAATTAGGAGGCTGGCCCTTGCCTATATCCCCGTGGCCTGCCTGCGTCCAGTCCAAGAAGCTTCCAGTAGGCCCCGGTAGCCTGAGGCCCAGTCACGAAGAATGCAGGCATGGAGCCTGAGGTAGTTGCATATGCCCAACAACTTTCGGCCTGTGCTTGGCCCRGTGCCYGTACCCAGCCCAGGGCCTGCTTTACATTCATTCACACAGGCGGCCCAGGGCGTGAGTTCCTTCAACCAACTGATGCTGTGCAACTGCCTGAATTTCTCCATTTGCGGGGTACCCAGATAATGAGGCCCTGAGGGCCTGTCGTGCCTGCCTTCACTTAGGGCGGCCGACCTTGCTGCAAATAAGGCCCGTAGGGGCTAAGCGGGCGTAGCCTCGCATTCCCTCCTCCATATCTTCGTTAGTCCTCTGAGAAGATCAGTTTGCCGCCAGCTGGCGCTTTCCTTTCAAAACATCCCTCTCATAGCGGGCAACGATCTGAGGGGCGGTCTGCATCAGTTCCTCCCGAGTAAACCAGCGGTTCTCCTTCGGATCTGTATGATGTCTGAAGTGAACACGAAACTGCAGCTTTGGCTTGGGAGGACGTCCTCTTCCTGGAGGCTTCTGAACAGGTATCTCTCTGTGGTCGACGATATTATCGATGTCGACTTCTCCATCCATGGTTGGGGGCAGCATTGACCGACGGGAGGGAAACTGATCAGTTTCCTCGAACGTGGCGAGCTTTGAGGCGTGAAAGACAGGGTGAGTTCTGAGATGACCAGGGATACGGATGACATAAGATGGACCATCAGGATCTGTCCCTACTACATCTAGAACTTCCCAAGGTCCAAAGTACTGAGGCATGAGTTTGCGGGATATCTCGAACTCCTGTCCCAGTTCTGAGGACTTAACCCAGACTCTGTCCCCAACCTGAAATGTAGATGGGCGGCGGTGTTTATTCTCAGATTCTATCATCGCTGCCTGCGCCTTCTGCATATTTTCTACAGCCTCCTGCATCTTCTGTTCATAACGATACGCGAACTCCAAAGTACCCGGTGTCACAGTTGGCTGGTTATCAGGAAGTAGGAAATCTAAAGGCAGTCTAGGCCTAAAGGCAAGATGTAGACTGTTAGTACTTACCCCGGTGGCGCTGTGTACAACGTTATTGTACAGACTGGCGACAAGAGCCAGTTTCTCGTCCCAGTCCACCTGGTTGGGCTTAATGTAATGCCTCAACAGGTGTTGAACAGCGCGGTTCATCTGTTCGGCCTGGCCGTTCGCTTCTGGATGGCTTCCAAAAGTCATTTGCAGTCGAGTTCCCTGTTCAGCTGCAGCGGCCTTCCATAGTTCACTTGTAAATCTGACATCTCTGTCACTTACGATAGACTTGGGCAATCCAAAATCTCTCACCCAGTTCTCTTTGAACAACCTGATAACGTACTCCGTTTTGGCTGTCTCTGGCATTGCTACTAATCTAGCATACTTACTAAATCTATCCACGATGACAAAGATTTGTCTCATACCACTCTTGCTGGTAACTAGCGTATCCATGAAATCCATGGACAAACTCTCACCAGGCCTTTCCGGAATCGGAAGGGGCTTCAGGAGCCCAAGAGGTGCCTGAGTACGGGGCTTGTCTCTCTGACAAACTTGACAAGTCTCCACGTACAGCTGTGCATCTCTCATCATGGAGGGCCACCAGAACCGTTGCAGCAGATTTGCTACGGTTTTCTTAAACCCAAAATGTCCGGTGGCATCATGACATTCTCCTAGAAACAAACTACGCAAAGACTTACTACATGGAACACACAGCCTCTTATTCCCTGCCTTCTCGAGGAAAAGCAATCCGTTGGCCATCTCAAACTCGGCCGAAGTGCGTTTGTCCTTCGCCTCAAGCCTGCGGATGATCTCAGACATGAATGGGTCCTCTCGATAGGCTTCCACCAAAGAGTGAGTAACATC